AAAGAAAGGAAGGAAGGAAGGAAGGAAGGAAGGAAGAAAGGAAGGAAGAAAGAAAGGCAAATCAAACCATTGGCTAACCTGTAACTCCTTTTCCTTCATGTCGAGTTCTCTTCTTTTTTTATTTAAGGTATCCAAATGTTCTTTCTGTTTATCTTCATAATGCTGCTTTCCTCGTTTTTGGCTATCCACTTCAGAGTCAGCAAGATTTAATTCATCCTGTTCCAATAAAGACCATATAATCTATAAAGAAAAGTGGGTGATCTGGGGCTCTGGGAACAGGGGACAATTTACTTACCTGATAAAGTGCCCGCTGCACTTTTTAGCAAGGGAAAAAACCCATACACCAAGTTCTGAGTGCACTCACCACCTCCCCACGACACCTCTGACTAACACTGGGTATACTCCCAAGGTCACTATATTTGGCAGCTGCTAACATATTACAGTGGGAGTCTTAAGAATTCAATTATTTTGTTTGAAAATCATCTTGGCTTTGTTACTGACAGCTGGTATGACATTCTGAGGAGGAGGAAAAACCTCCTGCTAGTACTTGATTACAAGCAAGTTTACCAAAGAACTACGCTCCTACCTTACAACAATTTGAAGGCAAGGCAAAAAACAAAGATAAAAAATTCTTAATGTCTTTTATTGAACTTACTTAAGAACTCCCAATTCCAGTGTTTGCTGGACCTTAGGTATTAATTAAGAACAGAGAATTCAAAATAGAAATTAGAGCACTAGCGAATACAACAGACACAGAGAGGGAAAGCTCAGGGGTCCGTGCTTGCATTGCTAGCACAAGAAAGTCCCGAGTCTGTCGCAGCAACATATACAAAGCAGATCAAGAGCAAATAAGCCCCAAACATGGTTTGTTCTTCATTCCTTTCTAATTTTAAATCTCTTGGGCAAATGATTTATCTGCTAATCTTCTTCTATTCTGCTTTAGCACATCACTATTAGTATTTTGAGTGACCCTGTTCAATTCTTTTATCTGTGTAAGATTTTCAATGTTACCTTACTTTTATTATAGTTTCATTTTTGCAATTCTTGAAACCAAATTTTTATTTTACCTATTCAAATTTTTGACTTTTAAAGTTTCATTCCTTTTCTTATTTTAAGGCAGAATACTAACTTTGTCTTATTTTTCATGCTTGGGTATTTTGTAGGCTGATACTTATTTCCTCTAGGACCTGTCTTTTCTTATTTTTTATCTTAGCCAATAGTATCGTTTGTATGAAGAAAAACAAAAACTTTAATGTCTAAATTGTACATCCCTAATAATCAATTCATTTGCCAGTGAACTGTGCTTTTTCAATGAAATTTCAAATTGTGAAAACAGAATTACTCATTGGCATGGTATTAACAATAAGGTGCAGGATAGCAAAACTATCATAAGAATTGAAATTCAGTTTATTAACTTATATATAAATAATTAATTAGTTTGATTTAATTCACCTCACTTTATTTCTCTAAATATAGTCACAAATAGTATATGCTTAAAATAAAAGTCAAAGGAAAACAGCCCAGAGCCATGTGTGATGGCACATGCCGCTGATCCTACCAAAGACAAAGGTTTTGATCCAATTAATCATTTTTCTAAAGTCAAGAGCAGAGTACTTTGTAATAACTGGCCTAATTCAACAATTATATTTGTTTATATTTACAACTAACCCGTGAGGATCTCTAAGTTTGTTGGTAATAAGCTGTAACAGAAAAGAAAGAACTGTACAGATACCTTGAGTGGATCTGCCAGCTCAGACAGCTGGTTGATCTTTAATTTAATTGTATCATACTTGTTCTCTGCTTCAATTTTTAGACTTTTAAGATTCTCCATGTTTTCTTTTTGTTGTTCCATATTTTTCTCAACCATCTGCATTTTTATTTTATTTTCCTCAGCTTCATCTTCCTGATAAAATTTAAAGAACATAGAGTTAAATACAAGTTATCCAATAACAACAGCAATACATATACTCTGAGAAAGGACAAGAGGAAAAAATCAGAGCTACGATAAAAAACAAACAAATGAAACACTTTCATGCTTAAACAGAAATTTACAAGGTAGGGCAAAAAAGTTCAAAAGAAGGAAGGAATTGCATTTATCAGTCAAGTAAAATCTACTAGCTTCCTTTCAAAATGTACTTTGTATAAATCAGTATTTATTCTGTGACAATATGGTATTGGCTAAGTAAAAAAAAATTAAAATATAACCTATGCTTTTATAAAAGGTAGTTTATCAGTAAAATGTCGGTGGTGGCGCACGCCTTTAATCCCAGCACTCGGGAGGCAGAGGCAGGTGGATCTCTGTGAGTTCAAGACCAGCCTGGTCTACAGCGCTAGTTCCAGGATAGGCTCCAAAACCACAGAGAAACCCTGTCTCGAAAAACAAACAAACAAACAAACAAAAAAATGAATAAAAGGAAGGAAACAAGACTAATAAAACTCAACAATCCTCATTAGCCAAAGCTCTGCAGCGCAGGAACCAGAGCTGCTGCTCACTGCTTACTGTAAGTGACAAACATGCTGCCACTCTCCACGAAGGACAGGAGTCACATGCTCCTTTGTTGTGCTCCAGAAAAGGGTAAACTGAACGTCACAAATAGAAGGCTAGAAAACTTAAGTATGGAGAGAGAGAGAGAGAGAGAGAGAGAGAGAGAGAGAGAGAGAGAGAGAGAGAATATGAACCTGGAAAAAGAAATCCAAGCTCAACCCTGACTGACTGGAAAGGGAGTCCTGACCTCCCTCAGACCCCAGTCACGGGGAATGCCAGGCGCTTCTCTGAGAAGCAGAGCTCTCAGTACACTGTTTAGATGCACGCACTTTGCTAACGTGTAATGTACGTGTTAGAAGAACAGGGCAGTGGGAGGCAGAGGCAGGAGGATCTTAGTGAGTTCAAGGACAGTCTGGTCTACAAGTGAGTTCCAGGACAACCAGGATTGTTACAAAGAGAAACTCTGCCTCAAAAAAAAACCAAAAATCAGAGCCAGGCAGTGGTGGCACATGCCTTTAATCCTAGCACTTGGGAGGCAGAGGCAGGCTGATCTCTGCGAGTTCAAGACCAGCCTGGTCTACAAGAGCTAGTTCCAGGTCAGGCTCCAAAACCACAGAGAAACCCTGTCTTGAAAAAAAAAAAATCAAAAGGAAAATAAAGTGACACTTGTGAACCAAAGAGCTAAGTTACAGTTTTATCTTTTAACATTTAAATAGAAGAAAAGCATTTTACCAAGGTTGCAATATCGACAGACTGGTGTTCTTCTATATTCTCAAGTTCCCGAATTTCAGAAATATTTTTTCTTATTTTCATCTAAAAAGGAAGTATTTAGAATTTAACAAAAACCGAAGTCCTTGGAAGACTATTAAACCAGGAAGCTCTACTATGCTTATCTCACAGCAGGATGCAGCAGTCAACAAAGGAGACTTCTGTATTCCTCCGCAACCAGGTGAGCGTGCTTCCCATTCCACCATGATCCTTCTCACTACTAACCCACAGCCATGCAGAAGATAGACGAAATCTACCTTAGCATTCCAAATAACCACACTACTGACTCTATGAGAGAAAATGCTTCTCTAAAGTAACAAATGTTTCAAATTGTTGAAAGATCACTGTAGAAATACAGTGTCCTTCTCAAAGACCCAAATAATTCCTGGGAGATCTGGGAGTCCATGCAGTTAAAAGTATTTTCAAAAAAGCACTGTAACATTATCCACCATTTTTATCAACGCTTTCTCTCAAATTTACAGGTACCTTATAACTGTACAAATCAAAAACCAAAACTTTTGTTTTCATTTCTAAGTACTACTGGGCGGTGAAAATACCTTTAATCACAGCACTTGGACAGCAGAGGCAGGCAGTTCTCTGTGAGTTCAAGGCCAGCCTGGTCCAAGTAGCAAGTCCAGGACAGGCAGGGCAATACAAACAAACAAACAAACAAAAAAACCAAAACAAACTTTTAAGTACTGATAAGATACAACAACACACTAGTGTTGTCTAGTTTTGCCTCAACTGGACACAAGCTAGGATCATCTGTAAGAAATCATTAATTAAGGAAATGCCCCGTACACATTCCATACTTTATCCATTCTTCCACTGAGGGACATCTAGGTTGTTTCCAGGTCCTGGCTATTACAAATAATGCTGCTATGAACATAGTTGAACAAATGCTTTTGTCATATGATAGGGCATCTCTTGGGTATATTCCCAAGAGTGGTATTGCTGGATCCTGGGGTAGGTTGATCCTGAATTTCCTAAGAAACTGCCACACTGATTTCCAAAGTGGTTGCACAAGTTTGCATTCCCACCAGCAATGGATGAGTGTTCCCCTTACTCCACATCTTCTCCAGCAAAGGCTATAGCCATACTAATGAATATCTTGCATATCACCATAGAACCTTCATCTGGCGATGGATGAAGCTAGAGACAGAGACCCATATTGGAGCACTGAACTGAGCTCCCAAGGTCCAAATGAGGAGCAGAAGGAAGGAGGACATGAGCAAGGAAGTCAGAACAGCGAGGGGTGCACCCACCCACTGAGACGGTGGGGCTGATCTATTGGGAGCTCACCAAAGCAAGCTGGACTGGGACTGATGGAGCATGTGATCAAACTGGGCTCTCTGAACATGGCGGCGGAAAAGGAGGACTGACTGAGAAGCCAAGAACAATGGCACTGGGTTTTGATCCTACTACATATACTGGCTTTGTGGGAGCCTAGTCTGTTTGGATGCTCACCTTCCTAGACCTGGATGGAGAGGGGAGGACCTTGGACTTTCCACAGGGCAGGGAACCCTGACTGCTCTTTGAACTGGAGAGGGAGGGGAAGGAGGAGGAGGAGGGAAGGGGAGGGAAATGGGAGGAGTTGGAAATTTTTAAGCAAAAATAAATTAAAAAAATTAAATTAAATAAATAAAAGAAAAAGAAATTGCTCCGGCCAGTCTGTAGTGCAATTTCCTGATTGGTCACTAATCAGGACCCAGCTCACCATTGGCAGTCCTGGATGTTCTAAGAAAGCAGGCTGAGAAAGTCATGAGGAGAAAGACAGTAAGCATACACCTCTGTGGCTTCTGCATCAGCTCTTGCTCCTGTTTTTGCCTTGTGTTCCTGCCCTTCAATGATGGACTGTGATGTGGAACTTTAAGCTGGAAACAAAACCATTCCTCCCCAATTTGTTTTTGGTCATGGTCTTTTACTACAACAATAGAAACCCTAATTAATACAACCCATAAAAGAAAGTTATGCCTAAGAATACAAAGGGGATTGAGGCCAAAATCTTTAAGAAAATGAATGACAAAATTATACAATTAACTTTGAAAACCAAAGGCTATTATTTGTTTTTGTTACCTTTATTTCTTTATAATGTAGCTGGCACCTTTTAAGGAGTTCTTCATTTCTTTTAATATCCTTCTCAAGGGCAGACAAATGGTGCTGAAGATTTATTATGTGGGCCTTTTTATTTTCAATCTCAGTCTCCAAATGACTTGAAAGAAAAAAGAAAAAAATAAACTCTTTTATTAAATACCTTGCTCTTTTACAACAAAGAAAGTTAATTTGTAATAACTTAGTTACAAAACCCTATTCCATCAAACCAGTTCTATAACCCTATCAAATTATTTTAGGAAGCTACTAAGTTATTAGTGAAAACTAGCAGAAATGTCAAAAGATCATCTAAACATAAGTTTTACTTATTTGATTAACAAATATTAGATACAAATTCTATTCTTCAGGAATTATGCATGAAGGTAGGTGAAGGCAGAAACAGGACAAAGATTCAATCCCTCAAAAAGAAGACAACCAGACTATATGCAACATTAAATATGAATAGGACAAGATACGTTGTGTCCTCAGAACTACAGGAATGCAAATGTTGTTCTGGACAAATGTTTTTTACCAGCTAGGTCAGCTGGGTAGAGCACAGGAGCACAAATGCACAAACACACAGTTGGTGGTGACAGAAGACTGAACAGAATAGCTTAATCGCTCTTGTTTAAGAAAAACAAATGTTAAGAATATGTAGGGAGTGGAGGGAAAAGAGGACACAGAGATGGAAAACAAGAAAGGCAGAAGCCACAACCATGAAAGGTCTCTTTGCAACAATGGAGCTATAGTTTCAGTGTTCTGCTTTACTAGTTTACACAAGATAAAGAAAATCTGTTACCTAATAAGACATACTAAACACGAGCTAAGTATACAAGTTGCTTGTGTGAGATGAGTGTACTCCAACCAAATAGTGATCGTCAGTCTCTAATTCCGCACTGCACTTTGCTGGTTTCCACAGTACCAATCACGTATAAACTACCCACCACTCCTTAGCACATTTGGCAAGCACTAAGTAGTTGTTGTTTGAAGGAACAAGTGAAAGCATGACCTCTGGAGGCTACTTCAGCACTGCCTATCAAACAGTTTCATCGTGTAGTTCAACAACACACAGGCCCTAGGAGCCTACTCACACGTCATGTGTGCTTTTCTCATGGGACTACTTTGGGATGAAACACTAAACCAAGGGCCACAACTTTCACCTGGTGGATTTTTTTTCTCCTCAACCTTTTCCTACACTAATCAAGAAATTTTATTTAAAATTACCAAAACCTTATAATAACTTCCTACTACTTTATTTTTCTTCTTCTTTTTTTTTTTTTTTTTTCCGGGGAATCGAACCCTGGTCTCCCACGTGACAGGCAGGGATACTCACCACTATATAAACGAGGATTCATGCTACTTTAATAATCACATGAAAACTAGTTAGCTTCTGAAAACAAGAAACTTCAACAAAGCCCTCATTTCCTTACATTGCAAGTCACTTAGAACTTAGAATCCTTTGCCTTTGGCTCAGTTTTTTCCGACGCCCTTCCTTTCTTTTGTGGTGCTGGAGGGTGAATCTGAGACCTCGCACCACAGGCAGGCAGAACTCACGAGCAGCAAGGACAGCACTAGCACTAGATTTTATCTTAAGCCAGTTTACTATAAACACACACTAAATCATTAACTAAGGCCTGACCTATCACTGCACCAAAGAAAATTAGTTTTGTTGGGAATTCACGATATCAATGATACCAAAAATTTTTTTTGCAAACCTTTCTAGTAATTAAGGACATGACTCTTTTAACTTCTCAATTTCTTGTTTCATTTTTCTATTTGGATACTGGGTTTCTCTGTGTAGCTCTGGCTGTCCTAGAACTCGCTCTGTAGACCTGGCTGGCCTCAAACTCGGAGATCCATCTTCTTCTGCCTCCTCCCATCAATTCCTTGACTAACGTGCACTCCCACCTCCCCCTCCTGATTTAACTTTTCAACTCACTCTGTACCAGCCTTATTTGCCTAGGCCTATGTTTTTGCTTTTGGTTTTTCGAGACAGGGTTTCTCTGTAGCTTTAGAGCCTGTCCTGGAACTAGCTCTTGAAGACCAAGCTAGCCTTGAACTCAGAGAGATCTGCCTGCCTCTGATTCCCAGGTGTGATTAAAGGCATGCACCACCACCGTTCAGCTCCTAGGCCTATGTTTTAGCTGTGTCAACTGATCTTTCTTGTTTTCTCAAACAATGTCTATATATGAGACAAATAAAAAAGGTTATGTCTGAATGTAGCTCAGCACGCTGAACTCTTGCTTAAAAAAAAAATCACTGTGACTCAACAGTGAGCAGCAATACAGCTCCATTTCTTCCACATGGACTGCTTTAAATCTCTAATCCATTCTTTCACAGGCGTGAACTAGTCTTTTCAGTACACGTGCTGCCCACGGAAGCACTAGTCCCCACTCCGTACAGTGTCCTTACAGCTTATGGACAGGAGGCACTGTGTGTACATCAGCTGTTGAGGACATTCTGTGTATTTGGTACTCAATATTACTGTCAAAATATATGCTAAATTCCACATCAAGTGAAATAAACTTTTTTTTTTTTTTTTTTGGTTTTTCGAGACAGGGCCAAATACTTAGATAAATCACAATACTTCCCTGAGAGAATCCCTATGGGAAGGCTGTTAAAGAAAACAGAATCCAAAGGAGAACAGTGGGAAAATAAAGTAAAGCTAACTTAATCAAACCTTATTTCAGAATCCACATCTCTGCTTAGAAACTTGGGCCTTGTGTTTTCAGATGAATAATAACGACCTGCAAACACTTGATCACCGTCAGCAGTGAAAGCTTCTCTACAATTTTTAGGTGGCTTTTGGGACTGCATGACTGCCCGAGCTACAGAATTATTCTAGAATAGAAAAGAAAGTAATTTTAAAAACGCTGCCAACATATTTCTCATGGATATACTTCAAAATTTTATCTACTGGTAAGAAAATTTAAGTATTTTTATTTAAACATGGAAATAATTCTAAAAATAATAATGTATTTCTGAAATACTTTACAAATACCCCAAAGTAACAAGTCTCTTGGGGAACAAACAACTGCACAAACAACCAACTCTATATTATCCTATAGATTTTCCCATGTGACGATGGAACAACAGAAACATGTCTATGAAAAAGTTCAGTTATCAAGATTTTGACTCATTTGCCTTACTTTGATCAGCAGCACTGTCTCTATGCTCCGCATGTCAATCAGACTGTTCGCAACAACAGCATTGTCTATTTCTAACGCTGTCAGAACAGTTGGAAACTCCGGATGGTAAGCAGCTCTAGAAAATACAGGGGGAGGGCAACTTAACAAACTTTAAACAGAAAAAAAAAAAAGAGCAAAATCATGCAATTTAATGGGTAAGTAGACTATAGTGAGAGAATATGAAATATCTGTTAATAATTTGAAGACATGTCTGTAAGAGATTTATTTATTTACTGAACAAGTACACTAAAAGTGTGTGAAGACACTGCTCTAAGCACCTAAAAAAATACAAGCTCATGTAATGTCCTAACAACCACTATAACATATCCTCTCTATTTTTTGTGATAAGGATGCTTCAGAGAGCTTAGTGAGTTCCCTAACATCCTAAGGATACTTAAGTGGCACGCTAGAATTTAAAGTTGGAAATACTGATTTAAACCCAGACACACAACCATCATGCTCAAAATTGATAATAGCAGTTATAATTTATTTTATAACTGTACACAAACATAAAAGTTAGTTAATAAAAACACATTTTAAATAGTTGAATAACTATTTCACTGAATAAATGGAACTGGAGATGGCTCAGCAATGCTTAATATCTGCAAGCATGAGGACATGAGTTCAAATCCTCCACATCCATATAAAAAGCTGGACACAGCTGCAAGCCCATTACTGAGTCAAGCAGATCCCAAAAACTCGCTCACCAACAATCATTTCTTAAATAAATAAAATGCATCTTAAGTATCTGATACAGTTGATGTTCTTACATATGCACAAGTCCTCTTCAGTACATTTAAGACAGCTAGAAATTATTAAACCTACTCCCATCATATTAAAAAGGCTCTTATCAATAGCCAGCCAGCAATAAAAATACTACAATTTAGATCTTTCCACTACTTCAACAACTTTGTACTTTAGCACACTAGACTTGATGCCAGCTAACAACACACTGACTTTGCCGTCACCCACATCTGTTTTATTAAACTATAATTTCTATAATTTCACAATCTTATCCAAACTTTTTTCAGGCTCTGCCTGTTAAGTGTGAATATTTTACAAAGCCAGCTACATTTTCTCCCAGGCTCCACTTTCTAGGAAATAATTTCACAGCAGTACCCTCAACTGCTTCTCTCCTCCTTGTCACACCTGCACATTCAAAAACTTACCTACTTTAGTCTTAATAAAGACAGTCTTACTGACAACTATAAAGCCATATTATTAACAAAAACCACTGCAGCTACCACAGTTGTATATTTTAAGTGGAGTATCAGTCAACTTCCTCAGTGATTTGCAGGAGTTGGTTTAGACTTTTCAACGGCATAATTTCCGAGCCTCCTACAACTCCAGTACAATGCCCTCATTCTCAGCACGTGAACTGTATTATCCGCTGCCCCCTACAAAAATTAGCAGTATACTGCACAAACTTAGTTTACCTTCATACCCTTCCACAGTATACTGTAAGTCAGAGCTGCTATATATTGCTATCTCTGGAAACACATTGGTTGGAAAACACCAGGTCAGCCAGGCAGTGATAAGCATTCCCGGTCACCTGGCCCCATGGCAAATCACAGAACAGTCCACACAACTGTTCAGGACTAAACAGGGAGCTGGAGAGGTGGCTCAGTGCTCAAGTGCTTGCTGTTCTTACAGAGGACTCCAGCACTGACACCAAATGGCTCACAACTGTCTTTACTACAGCTCCAGGGAATCAAATGTCCCTTTTAGCTCAGTGGGACCTGTACTCATCTGTACAAACCTCAAGACGTCCTACCCCATTAGTTAAAAATGAAATAAACCCTTCATTAAAACAAACAACATAACAGACACAAGGAGGCATTCTCCCTCACACAGCTTTGTAAAACAGCTTCCAACTTCCCTATCTGGAACCCATCAGGCAAGCAGGCCACCGGTTCAGGTGTGTTTCTGTCCTTAGACAAATTCATTAATTAAAGGACTAGTTATTTACCATGTTCCCAATCCCACTAACACATGACTTAATGTTGTGGAATATTAGCTTGGGAAGTGTTACATTTGTTTATGCTGTGGAACATTGGTTTTTAATGATGCGAAGAAGTATTGCATTCTTTTATGTTGCATTTGTTTAACTCTGTGAAGCTGTGTTACTCTGCCTGTCTAAAAGACCTGATTGGTCTAATAAAGAAATAAACTGTCAATAGCAAGGCAAGAGAAAAGATAGGAGGAGCTCCAAACAGAGAGAATAAATAGAAGGAAAAGAAGGCTCAGAAAGCAAGAGGAGGAGCAAGAACAAGGAGAAGAGGACAGAGCGGGATCAGTCACCTGGCCACACAGCCAGCCATGGAGTAAGAGTGAAAGCAAGATCTACAGAAGTAAGAGAATGGTAAAAGCACAGTGGCAAAAGACAGACTGGATAATTTACGAAAAGTTGGCCAAGACCAGGCATTTATAAGTAATATTAAGACTCCATATAATTTACTTAGAAGCTCCCAAAAAAGTAAAAAAAAAAAAAAAAAAAGACCAACCACAACAACTTAATGACCCCCTCATTTGAATTACACCTATATCTTATGATATAAATTTAACTAATGCTTAGAAAGAAACAAAGGCAACTATATGTTGGCATCCAAATTTACTCAAAAATAAATCAGGTAGCATTAGACTTACAAAACAAACAAAGATAAGGATTTATGAAAGTGAAGATAGCAAGGAATCAAAATTCAACCTTGGAACTCAATACATTTATTTTCTTTCACCTTTACTGTCCCTATGAGAGGAAAACAGCTCTTTAAGCATCCTATGAAATACCTTTTTAATCGTGCACACGATTAAGCAAAACCAGAGACAGTATTTATCTGATTACCTGAGTCTCACATCATATACCTCACTCCGAAATTCAGAAACAATTATCTGAGGCCGAGAAGTCCCTGGCGGATAAAATTTTTTCATCAATGACTGAAGTACTCTCTCATCAGCATGATTATGGCAACAATAGGCTTGCAGAAGTCCTTTCAAGCAAGATTCAATGGCCAATGCAAGTTCTGGATCCCGCAGATGAATGCAAGCACCTAAAAGTGATCCCCCCCCACACACATTTAAAAAAATTATAGGATTCATAAATATTTAAGTCATATAGTCCTACACAGAGATCACTACCTAGAAGAACGTGACAAAAGTTTCTGAAACCCCAAGTAGAAATAAATGAAAACACATTAGCATGGACTTTGAAACTAGGAGAGGACTGGAGATCAGATTGTTTAAATGAAGTAACAAATGAGAAGGAATACATTTATAAGAAGCACATGAATCTGAGAGGAATGCTGCTTTTGTTTTGTCTCTTACGTATTCATGGCAACAGGTTGGCTAACTGATTAATATTCTTTCCCTAAATTCTCTTTCCCTTCTCAGTTTTAGTTCTTAAAAAGAAAAACAAAAGGGGGGCTGGAGAGATGGCTCAGAGGTTAAGAGCATTGCCTGCTCTTCCAAAGGTCCTGAGTTCAATTCCCAGCAACCACATGGTGGCTCACTGCCATCTGTAATGGTGTCTAGTGCCCTCTTCTGGCCTGCAAGCATACACACAGACAGAACACTGTACACATAATTAATAAATAAATAATTTTTTTTTTAAAGAGGAAGGTAGGCATTTAAAGTGATTTTCTCATTATGTTTAAAAAACATGAGCCAAAAGTGGTAGCACATGCCTGTAGTCCCAGCACTCAGGAGACAGACAGGAAGATCAGGATTAAGAACTCAAGACGACATACATCAGACTATCTATCCCATACCACCACCCAAACCCCTTAGTTCAATCAAAGTTAATACATAACCAGATAGCTTGTTAAACAGAATACTTCCTATAACTAAGAACTCAAGTTAATGACAATATCAAGAACACAATGACAAATACCTAAAGGGCCGATAGGCTTATGAGTGAATTGTCTCCGCCTGTATGCATCATCTATTGCCTCCAGCAGAGCTGGAACATGAGGACCAAATCTTTTCAGTCGATCAGTCTTACTATCTTTCAGTTCTTTCAATTGTCTCTGATTATAGGTCAGTGTATGCCTCACATCTAAATCTTCTCTCCTAAAATATAAAAGCAGAAAAAGGAAATATATTATGTAATAAGTTATACAAAAATACTAGGGTTTTGTCCATATTTAAATGTTAATCAATAACCTTATTACATGAAAACTGTGGGTTCATTTTATTTACAAATTGAATTACCAGACAAAAGCAGCCAACAGACCTCAAAACTCACATTACAGGTGCTGCAATAGCAATGGAACAAGCACCCCACAAACTGTCAAAACATGAGTAAAGTCTTAGAAAAAGAATTGGAATACATCTCTATCAGCAGTTCGGGTGTGGTGCTGAAGTCTTTAATCCCAGCACTCAGAGGCATTATGTAGTGAGATCTGACTCAAACAAACCAAGTCAAAAGGATCTTTACTGCTATCACAAAAAGATCTGTTTTCTCTAATACATCACAACTACACAATATTCAGGAAGTTGAAGGTGTGAACTTACTTAATCCGGACATGTTCTTGTTTGTCCTTTTCTATAACTTGTTCGAACTGTGCAGCCTCCTGATTGACGGAACTTTCCTGGTCCTGCAAGGCCTGTACCTTTTCTTTCAACCAACAGATTCTTCGTTGCCTTTCCAAGCGCTCTGGTTCCAAAGACTGATCAGTGCTAAGGAGAGTAATAAAACAAAAGTAGGAAATGGGCTAAATGCAACCTAACATTTAACAGTAAAAGTCACTGTAGCGAATTTTCATTAACATCAATACAGAAAATGCACCACTCACGATGCCTAATCATTACAGAGAGGCGACTGTGGAAATGCCAGGCTACTGTACTACCTTTTCTTTAGCTCCTCAATTCTTTTACAAAGCTGTTCATCATCTTTCTTTAATGCTTTATATTCATTTAGGGAACGGTTATACAAAACCTGACCAAAAAAAAAAAAAAATTAGTTAACATGTAGAAATACATAAACATCCCATCGAAACACACCCATAATCACTTGAAACAACATTTGGTTTGGTTATTTTTTGAGGAGGTTTTTCTGGGTAGCCCTGGTTGTCCTAGAACGCACTCTGCAGACCAGGGTAACTTCAAATTCACAAAGATCTGCTTGCCTCTTCCTCCCAAATGCTGGGATTAGAGGCATGCGCCACCACTCCCCGGCTGAAACAACATTTTTTTAATGAGGGAATAAAACATGTTTACTTTGATCCAGGTAGAAAAACACTATTTTTTAAAAAAAATAGCAGACAAGGAAAAGCTAAGACAGCAGTCATTGCGTTTAGAAGACTCCTCCCACCTCGGCATCATTAAAGGCTCTCGTCCTCGCGATGACGTCCGTTTTCAAAGCCATGCATTCCGGAGCTCGTGCATTTGTCTCTTCACTAATTTTTTCTAGTTTATCTTGAATATCTTTGTACTTTTTTTCTGCATCATTAAGTCTGACCTTTAAGTAAAATAAAATAAAATACTCTATTTTCTTTCAGTAACAAGAAAAACATAAAAAAAAAAGGACCAATCACAGTCCAATAAAATTAATTTTACTCAACAGGTAGGGCACCCACTGTCAATCCTGACAACAAAGTTCAACCTGAGAACCAATATGCTGGAAGAGAACTGACTCTCTTAAGCTGTCCTATGACCTCTTGGCATGACCTAAGGCGTCTCTGGATGCCATAGCTTACATGCATGTGCACATATGTGCATGCGCACGCACACACACACAAATAAATAAGTGAGATAAAGCCTTTAAAGTTAAGTTAGGCAATCAGTTACATAAAATACAAAAATATAATTCAATTCAGACCCATTTAATTATCCAATAGATGCTATCCTAAGTATACAAAGAAATAGTGTCTTTAAATGAAAAAGATTTAAGAAAGATACAACGTAACAAAATACAAGACGAATACTATGTAGCATATATCATATCTATACTTATAAAAACATAGAAAAAGAAACTGTAGGTATGCCAGGCAAAGTCAGGATGGTTCAAGGAGAAGCATTTATGCTAGCAACAGGAAGGGTGTTAATTAAAGTGCACCTGGATATAAGTTGAGGTCAAAGTTTTAGGGAAGGACACTAGAGCATGTGCAGAGTTATCAGTATCTACTCCAGAAGTTAAAAATAACGGAAGTTCAACTGAGAACATAATGAAGTGAAATGAGATGATCGGTAGAAAAGCTTTATATTCCATAATCCATAGCTTATAACTCAATCCTCTAAAGTAAAGATAATGTACAAATCTACATCTTGGTGTCTGATTATTCTCAAACTTGTTGAAGGCAAGGTGGCAGGAAATTTATAGGAAAAGTTTGAATAATAAAACAAATATAAAGTCTTATGGGACCAAAATGAGACAATGACAAGAGGGATGAATTAGAAGGACAGGAAGGAGGGGAGGTGCCATTTAAATCAGAAGCTAGCAAAATTCCTCTATAAAGAATCCAACATAGGCCTATCTCTGCGGGCCAAGTGTTAGCGCCACACTCTCAGCTCTGACCTTGGAGCTTAACAAAAGACACCTGGGTCCAGTGGCTCACACTTGTAATTCAACATAAGATAATAAAACAAGAGGAATACAAAATTAGAGCTTGGTAGATGAGGAAGAGACTAGAGGAGGGAAAGGAAAAACAAGGCAAGCAACTAAGGATGATGGAGTAAAGAATGGTTTCCTTTTTTTGTTCTTCTTTTGTTTTTTTAAGACAGGGTTTCTCTGTGTAGTCCTGGCTGTCCTGGGATTCACTCCGTAAACCAAGCTGGCATTGAACTCAGAGATCCACCTGCCTCTATCTCCCAAATACTGGGCTTAAAGGCATGAGCCACCATTGTCTGGCTAAAAAATTGTTATCAAGTTAACAAAAATTCAAAGTTTGTATGATATACTCTTTCGTCAGAAACCTTCTAATAAAGTCATATTAAAAGTGCTGCATAAAAAAATGGTAGGAAGGCAAGGCAGAGACAGGTGGATCTCTGTGGGTTCAAAGCCATCCTGGTCTACAGAGCAAGTTCTAGGACAGGCTACAAACTACAAAGCTACACCGAAAAACCTGGTCCCAAAAAACAAACAAAAATTCCTTTATGATTCAGTATCAGTAAATGTTTGATTTACAAATGTATTTACATACCTACACAGGTGATAAAGGGTTGGGAGTGGAGAAGTTGTAAGAAGCTCTACCTATAAAGATCAAAGGAGCTAGAGTTCCTGGTGTGGGAGGCCCTTCTGTCTGCGTTGCTTTTATTGGTTAATGAATAAAGAAACTGTCTTGGGTCTGCACATAGCAGAATAGAGCTAGGCGGGGAAAACTAAACTGAATGCTGGGAGAAAGAAGGCAGAGTCAGGGAGATGCCATGTAGCCGTAGGGAACAAACGAGCCGGAATCTTGACAGTAAGCCACGTGGCAATACACAGATAAATAGAAATGGGTTAAATTAAGATTTAAGAGCTAGCCAATAAGAAGCTAGAGCTAATAGGCCAAGCAGTAATTTAATGAATAGTTTTTGTGTGGTTATTTTGGGGCTGAGTAGCCAGGAACAAACAAGCGGCCTTCCTACAAGTTCCACTTCGTCACGATAGTGCAGGAAGCCGTATGTGCAGCTCCACAGCCGGTTAGTATACTAAAATCACTGAGCTACACTTGAACAACCCTAACAAGTTATCTAATACAAACTCTACAAATAGGAAATCTAGATTCTGGATCATAAATCATCACACCCTGAAGTTTCTCTGGACACTGTTCTCACTTCTAGTGTCTTCGGTTCACTAATGCTTCACTGTAGTGTGGATCTACGGACAATTACTTCAGTATCTCTCTTTACAAAATCCTACTGTCCACATGCACGAGAAGTCAGCAGTCAAGGCTCAGACAGAATTATAGACAAATACAGGTCTGTTTCAAAAAAGCTGCAGCTGCTATATATAATCTCTGGAAAATTACAAAATTGGTTCAAATTTAACAGACTTACGTACAGATAATACACAGTTTGTAGATCAAAACCAGCACCAGTAGTCTCATGACCTAACTGATTATATCCTTGTAAGAACCTCTAAGTACCTGCTGTTCTTCCATTTTCCTATCAAGTTTGGCAGCACGCTCTTCACCAATTTTGATATTATCTCGAATAGCATTTAATTGTTTTTCAATTTCATTGACCTGAAATGTAATCATATACAAAATTATTACAAAAAAGGTATGAATTACAAAAAAGTTATGAATTTACAAATAAAAATAGATGAAAAAAAGTGAAAATTACCACTGCCCAAGCCATTTCATGTTTCAAATACTCTAAGTTAGTCTTCATTGTACTTAAGCCGGCAATATTTTGAAAACGTTCCTCTTTCTCCAAACACTGGCGCTTTAGTTCAGTAAGTCGCTTAAAAGAAAAAGATTATTTTTATAAACATCAGAAGGAAATATTCTGTAAATATGTTATTTAAGACAAGGCCTAAACTGGTACCACACAAATGCTTATTTAAAAAATGACATCATTAATGTAAAAATAAAGACTTTAGTTTTTTGGTACACTTGTGCTAAGAATAATTTTGCTAAGTGCTGCACTATAAAAATGATCAACTTTTTTTTTATTTATTTATTAAAGATTTCTGTCTCTTCCCCACCGTCGCCTCCCCTTTCCCTCCCCCTCCCTCAAAAATGATCAACTATTATGAGCAAAGCAAAGCATTACAAGTTCACTATCACAGAAGTCCTCAAGCTTCCTTTTCATTTCCTGCTTAATTCCCTATCTAAATATCCCTAACTCTTAATTCCTCTCTAAAGGCTAGACAAGCCTAATCTTCCAGATAAAACATAACAAGTACCCAAAAGATACTAGAAAGAGAAAGAATGTATTCCCCCAATCAAACAAGTCCTAATTTTCTTTTAATAATGAATGAAACAAATACAAAATATGTCATGAGAACAGGGTATTAAGTGGGTCCCAGAGCGCATGTTCTTTGCACCTATGTGGACGGTCCCCGTCCTTCACGTTTTCTATATTCAATCAAGCCTCAATACTGTAATCTTACTCTGATTCCCTTTCCAATCCAACTTATCTTCCCTTAGCTAAGATTATTTCAATCTACTTCGAAATCCTTCCAAACTTACTTTCCCTGCCTCCTGATTTCTTCACTAGAGCTCCCTGCCTTTGCCTTCAGAAGTTATCAAAGCCAGCACTCAACAATTTTCAGCATTCTAAAGTAGCTATCCACAGGGACTGCTGCAAAAGAAAGGAGGGGGCCTGGTTATCTAAAAGGTCATTTCTATCCCCTAGCTGTCTTGGACTCTATAATCTCATTTCTCCTTTCTCACCGAGTTTCATGAAATCTATCTGTATTTACTCCATTTTCTAACTCTACAGATCTGGCTCCTGTTTTTCTCCCTACTGAAACTTGACCTGCCATAAACATCTGTGAAGACTCTGCAACTTAAAATAGTGAGAAGTCCTGTCAACTTCTCCATCTCTCTTGCTTTGTCTTACATGGCTTCCTCTCATAGTTCAGACTTGGGTCTGCCTTTCCTGCTCTCCTAGTGATCTACATAAAATATATTATGTATTTGGACTCAAAAATGTTATCAAGATCAGATTTTACTCCGATGTTTCTAATTTATATAACCAACTTTCTACTTGGTAATCCCATTAGATAACATAAAAGCAACTCAAAATTTTGTTTAAAACAGACTGATACAGGGCACGACTGGTAGAAATTATTTAAAAATTCAAAGATTCCAACAATTTGGCCCTAGTGGCCAAAATGTTAAGGTACGGTCTGACAGCAGCTAACAAGCCACTGGATGCCTAAAGAATGCCACTATCCTGCTGGTGTGATCAGCCACCTACTACAGAGACATACCAGGTTTATCATCAGCAAAATAAATATTATGTAACATTTCCAAACTACTTCTAGTGAGAATCAGTGATGCCTTGTACAATCAATTAGTCACACAAGAAGGGATATGAAAGGTAAGATACGGCCTTATCTTCTAGTTTAAAACTGTCTAAAAGATGAAAAAAGACACACATATCCATTATTACAAAATAAAATTAATTCCCTAATTATAAAAATTAAATGTCATATAATTTAGTGTGCTAAAAAAATGCCATTCGTTTTAGGAAGACACAGATTTATACACAGGAATATAATTTTGATACTTTTACCTTAAGTAATCTAGGAACTGAGCTCATATCAAAAAGATTTACAGTATTTACAAACCTCTTCTCCTTGATTTATCTGCTCCTTTGTTCTTTCTTTTGTTTCCATAATATATGAATAATCCTCCTTCATCTGTTCAAGTTGGGTTGCTTTCATGAAGAACTATATCAACAAAAAGAAAAGTACACTTAGGATTTTCTAGGCTTTTCTGTACAAAAAGGGGGACAACGATGGTCCCCCAAACTCTTAAATCAATTACATAAAAAGCATTGAAAATGTAAGCACATATACATAAACACGGAGAACATACTTTATTTTACATTAAAATTACTTAATCTGTTACGTCCACATCTACACAGTCAACTGCAAAAGCTCCTAATACCTCATGAAAAAAAATACCTTTAAGCATGAAAATAATACACCTTGGAAATTTAAAAAAGAATTCCTGTATTTTCATACATTCTTCTTTCAAAGTAAAAATGACATTACATTCCTATCTTTGATCTGAATGAATCTAAAATTTCTAGAATAGGAAGTATCAAAACACATTCAGAAGATTATACACTAAGTAGCTTTAAAGTTTTAAATGGTTTAAAGTTTGTTATTAGGTTATATGTGGCCAATTCATTCCACTGTATTTTCTTAAAGGTCATTTGAAAAAAATAATAATCTATTCTTTAAGAATGAAAAGTCAAATTAAAAATATAAAGATCTACCAAAAAGTTATAACTAGATCTTACTTGGCAATGTTTAAATCAATTTTACAATATTACTTTAAGTGGGTGATTCTGAAGAGAAAAAAAAATTCTTAGTACCCATTATCTGAGCAAGTTTCTATGTATCCTAAAGCATGACCTTAGTTAGGTTTATATTTAGTTCATTCTCTTACTTTGTATTTGTCTCCCTCATTTTTAGACTGTAAGAACTGCTTGCTCATCTCTTGTGTTAAAACAGAAACTGGATTGTCCACCTGAAAAATTTTTTTAAAAGGGCATTAGAAAGTATTCCATTTTAATGCTTTAAACCAATTATACATTATAAAAGACCAGAGGTCAATCAAGAAAGCTAAGCTTTAGGCAAAGTTTATAGCACTAGGACTAAAATACTAAAAGCAATGTTACACATTTTTAACACAAAATAATGCTTCAAAATGGAACAATACCAAAATACATTGTCATTCAGCATTCTACTACAGAAGTTACAAGCTCAAGAAGCCTCCTATGTGCCTTTACTGGGTTTCCCGGGGGCTAGAGAAATGGCTCAGTGGGGAAAACACTTGCTATGCATGCATGAGAACTGAAGTTCAGACCCTCAGAACCCATGTAAAAAGTCAGTCAGCAAGGCCAGACAACTTTAACCCTAGCATTTAGGGGACAGAGACAGGGAGAGCTGGCTAGCTAGACCAGTTGGAATTAGTAAGCTCTGGGTACAGTAAGAGAACCTAATTCAAAAAAGTGCTGAGCAACTGAAGATACCCAATGTCAACTTTGCTTTCCACACAAGCACTTACACCCATATGTACATGCATACCCAACACACATGCAAGCACACAACAAAAAAAGAAAAAGTAGGCTTTTCACTTTCATATAGCTCTAATGTTACCAACATCTAAGGATAATATAGGTAAATACACAGCATGTGAGTCAGCTTTCCTACATTCTTATCTGAACTCTGTCCTTACCCCTATTATGAAGCTTTTCAATGCACAAAGAAAATTCAGTCCAGTTACCAGTGATCAGATCAAGTGATCAGATCAGTGATCAGGCAAGTACTTTTTTTTTCACAGCAGTGCTTTAAGATTTCTCTTTCTAACTTTGTGAGAATAGAAAATTCAATGGAACTATATCATTAAACATCTGGAGCATAAATCATTTTAAATAATAGCTTAAGCAGAAATACAATTGGCTACAAGAATATATAAGATGAAAAAGTTTTAAATACATACTCTGCTTTGAAAGATTCAGAGTACTTCCTTAATAACAACTATGATACTAGCAACAAAGCAACTTATGATACTAAAAATAATACAGGATAATTATACAGAACTAATTAAAAAATTGACACTTCTCATTTTTAACATTAAAAGTGACAACTGTTCAATTTTTAAGTAAAACAATGTTTTTAAAAACACCTTCTTTAAGTTAATGCTGGTACTTTTTTATTGCTTTCAAAAATGCTTACAGTTCAGTGTGATGGTGCTCATCAGGACTTGGGCGGGGAGGAAGACAGGAAGATCTCAGTCTGATCTACAGAGCGAGTTCCAGGCCAGCCAGAGCTACACAGTGAATCTGTATTTCAAAAGGAAAGAAGAGGAAGGAAGCAAGAAACACATTTCGCCATGCTTCCCTAGACCTTAATTATATCTGACTTCTTGAAAATGAGACCTGCAAGTCCCTATACTGCACAGAAATTTTATAGCATTATTAAAATATATTTTAACAAGATATTGACTATGCTAAGAAAATCAATGCACTAAAAATGGAGCACATATATTCTTATCAATTTACCATGAAGCAACCTTATTTACTTATATGCATGTCAAAGGCAAAAATCACACCAACAAAATGATAGTTTCATTAATTAATCTGAAAAAGAAATTTAGCAATTACCTGGATGTTAAAATGATCAAGAATTGCAATGAGCTCTTCCTTCTTAGTAGAAACCACGGTGCCTGTTTATAAAAACATAAAGACCAGACTCCTTGTGAAATACAGGGGAAAGGTACAATTATCTATAAAATGCAAATACTGAGCACATTTATCAGGCCAACTACAAAAATACCAGTAAACACACATAGTTTCAGTCATTATATCAAATAGAGAGTAGGAAAAAACCCACGTGCAGGAACAGTGAATGTGTCTTCCTGTGGGAACCAGACAGTACCTTCTCAATAACTGAACCTCCCCTTCGTGCCCTTTCCTACCTTCTACTAGCTCTAAGCTGTAGAAGTCAAGGGAAAGAAAGGATACCTACAGTTAAAAACAAAATGATAGAGTCTACTTCAAATTACTTCTGTTAAACATGATGTTGACTTTATGTCCTATAACAACTCAGTGTAATACACACAAATACTATATGCACTGAGTAACTAAGCAGGTTATTAATGAGGTTTCAAGAGACTAGAACGATATCACAGGGACAATCATAAGAACTTTTAACTATTTACTAATATTTTAAGAAACAAGGAAACCAACAAACCTTTTTCACTTTTTAGTTTGTAAGACCGACTTCCGTCCACACTAATGTGTTGCTGCACAACTATGGAGTCGCCATACACATTTGCCCTGAAGGCATCGTCACCTCTGTTCCTTAACGTTATTGAGATGTCTGCTGAGCTGAAACAATGAGGTTAACCTGAGTTACATGATGGCACATGCAATATGTTAGATTACAGCAATTTTCAAGTCCCCTATGCAATCTGATTAACATGTTAGTTAAGGGTCATAGTCTATCACATAATGTTAAAGACACTGTGTCCATGAGAAAACTAAAGCTGAGAGTAAAAGCAGGAAGTATTTCCTAATTCATATGAGCAAAATACTAATGCCTTGTCATACAAAACTATTTTAATTGAATGAAATCTTTGACAAATTTCTAGTGAATCTGTCAATAAACTTCATCCTTTAACATTTACAGGAAATGCAGGGAAAATGTTCAAAATGAGCTTCTCTGTGCCCTACGATGTGCAGGAGAAACACATCAATATTTGCTGCACATATATTTGCAAGATGGACTTAGTCAGCTGTCTACATTTACATCTCTAAAAACTAAGCTAAATGTAGTAAATCCTCATGGAACAACTACTCTTAAAATTCAAGTTCAGGAAAATAAGCCACACTTCCGTGAAGACTCCACTGATGTGAATTACACAGATGTCTTGTTTAAAGACATCTTAGCGACCCCTAATCAACAGTAAGGGAAGCTGGGTGAGAAATATAAAAGAAACACTATGCCATCTTTGCAACACTTCTGTAAATCTAAAATACATTTTTCTTGATTAAAATTTCAACATGATCAGACCAAGAAATGATGGTTCATTAGAGCTACAGTTTCGAGGTCTCAACAGCGAAACCAATCTGGTGAGATGAAACCTGCAGGAGCTCTCGAGATGTGAGCCTATCCAACTGACAAAGGAACCACGCACCCCAATCACAGACAAAGACAAACTCACTTCCTTCACACACACCCAGCTAAAGTATTAGTAACTAACACCTGCACCATGGACTCTGGGTGGCCAAGACTAAGATGAGGAGTAAGACATAGAATGTAAACTCCACAGATGAAAGCCACATACTCAGTTATCACAAAGAGACAGGGAAGGAAGCTAACACACAGTGAAGCAGAACCAACCAAGAAAAGGGACTGGTGGCGCACGCCTTTAAACCCAGCATTCAGGAGGCAAAGGCAGGCAGATCTGTGTGAGTTGGAGGTCAGCCTGGTTTACAGATCAAGTTCCAGGGCAGCCAGGGCTACAGAGAAGCACTATCTAAAGAAAACAAACAAGGACCGGAAAGATGGTAGAGGAGAATCAAAGAAGGCACTACAAAAATACGCACAACAAATTAGCCATACAAAAAGAAAATTAGGTCTGAAATAACATCTAATACTTTTAAATTAATGGCCCAATTGTTTTATTATTTTTATTATTTATTAGACACCCTAATGCTGAAACCTTTAAATACAGTTCTTCATGTTGTGATGACCCCCAACCATAAAATTTTCATTGCTATTTCATGACTGCAATTTTGCTACTGTTATGAACTGTAACGTAAATATCTACATTTTCCAATGTTCTTAGGTGTCCCATATAAAAGTGTCATTCGTTCAACCCCAAAGCAATCAACCCACAGGTTAAGAACCAATGTAATAAAAGTTCAATAATTTTTAATTTTACATTTTCACTATCATTTACATTTTATTCACTTACCTGTCATTACAAAAGGATAAAAAAACTGGAACTATAAATAAACTAAATTTTATTAAAGTGCAAAACCTTAAGCAGAATCCCAATGCTTTAAAATAGCCATTCTAACTATACAGAAAGTGACTGAGTGTTTGACTGGCTTCCTTAAACTAGACAAGCAATGTTTTTCCATGAGACATTTTATGTTAAATACTTAACCTGTCTTCCCAATTTGGGAAGTACTGAGACACAAACATAAATTTCTAAGACATATCCTGACTATAGTTTAAAAACCACTAGCTGAGGGGGCTGGAGAGGTGGCTCAGAGGTTAAGAGCACCGGCTGCTTTGCCAGAGGTCCTAAGTTCAATTTCCAGCAACCACATGGTGGCTTACAACCATCTGGAATGAGATCTGGTCCTCTCTTCTGGCCTGCAGGTATACATGCAGATAGAACACTGTGTACTTAATAAATTTAAAAAAAAAAAAAACTACTAGCTTATACAACAACTGATTTTCAAGTATAATTGTCTTAAGAGGGAACATGTATACATCGTAAAGCAGAGGTAACAACAGTAAATAATTTGTTTTGGGAAACCAATTTCTTAACTAAACAGCCCTTGCTGGACTGGTCCAGGTTGGCTTGAAAATATAGCAAACATCACGTCTCTGCCTCCTCAATGCCAAGATAACAAGTATGGACCACAAATGTAGCTTTAGTAACCTTTCTTTAAATAAAGCTAAAAGAAGAGCCTTTAAAAAATGCACGGCTAGCCAAAACTGTTGACACATGCCTTTAATCTGAGCACCTGGTCTCTGTGAGCTTGAGGCCAGGCTGGTCTACATAGCAAGTTCTAGCCAGCCAGGGATACACAGTGAGACCCTGTCTCAAAAACAAACCTCATTATGAGTTCTCCTTTTTTCTTCCACTCTCTGTGATGTATTTAGTATCCATAAAACTGTCTTAGCTTTTTAATGACTCTTATTTCTGCAGATGGGCTATTCCACTCTGACTGTATCTGAAATTATACTCTTGTCCCCTAGTAGCCTACTATGTCTCATCTGGAAGTTATCCTAAAGACAACATATTCAGAGAAGGAGGCCAACAGAAGTATTTGTTAGGACAGAATTCCAGTAAGATTAGTAAAAGCAAAAACTATACTGGAAAACTGTCATCAAATAGTTTTTTTTTTTTTCTAAGTTAGGATAGGAAATGATTTACTGTGTACCTATTCTTCTTTTCTATCAACTGGGAATCCTGAATTAAGGCTAAAATTCCTAAGTTCCTCAGCAATATGTAATTAAAAAACTGGCGTTCTACATTTGTATCATATTCCTACTCTATGTTTAAGTATTAAAATAAAGAGAAAAACGGACAGAACAAATAGAAATCTGCATCCTGTTCTGTCAAGTATTAGTATCAATTATCAAAGTTTCCATTTGATAAAATCACCAGCTACACACTGTAAGAGAATGAAACAAAAGCAGGGTATTATTATGAGAACCTAAGACCCCTCTAGAGGGTATCTTGGGTACTGTGGAATATTATTTTAAGATGTGTTGCTTTTGCGTATGCGGCATTTGTTTAACTCTGTGAAGCTGTGCTGAACGGCCAATAGCAAGGCAGGAGCAAGGATGGGTGGGGCTGACAGGTAGAAAGTATAAATAAAAGGAGAAACAAGGAAGAAGAGGAGCAATAAGGAAAAGGGAGAAGGATGTCAGGGGCCAGCCAGCCACCCATGAAGTAAGAGGAAAGTACAGAAATAAGAAAGATAAAAGCCCAGAGGCAAAAGGTAGATGGATTTAGTTAGGAAAAGAGGGCAAGAAATAAGCCAACCTAAGAAGGAGCATTCATAAGAAATATAATAAGACTCCATGTAATTTATTTGGGAGCTGGGTGGCAGCCTCCCCAAAAGAGCAACGAACAAGAAGCCAAAAGAGGAAAACATCACACAACACTTGGGTAGTAACAAGAACAAGAGGAACTGTGAATGCTGCACAGTCCTTGTCTAACAGAAGGGAAAGCAAAAACAGGAGGGAGGACAACACCATCCTGACTCCCTAGAAAAAGGGTTGTCAGCAGGCAAAAGGCTCCAACAGCAATGACATAAAATTAGACAACTGATCAGTTATACGAAAGCAATGTCTAACAGAAACAGGAATAGAGCCAGACACAACTGAACACAAAATTCCAGCACTGGGAAGGCAGAGGTAAAAGGACAGAAGTTCAAGACCAGCCTCCCTATATAACAAGTTAAAGGACAGTCTATGTCTATTTCAAAACAAACAGAAAGAAGTATGAATGCTAACCTACAAGGCAGTACTATGACTGCTCATTAAGGGTCCAGACAGTAGACTTGTGACTATGATTCTAAACTCATATTCACTGAGTAAGAAACAGCCAGAGATAGGATACTTTTCTAGGAGTCACAGAAAGCTAAAGAAAGAAATTCTGCACAAAACAAGTTGGCTCAACACCGACTTTGCTCTCATCCCTATCATGTTAGTATGATTGATGATATGAAGTTTAAGCAAAAACCCACAAAGGTATAATATTTAATAAATATTTGTTTAAAAATACATAAATTTGCTGCTGCCATTTCTTCCATAAAAACAGCAAGTTTAAGTGGGCAGTGCACAGTACTAAGTAACACAGGTTATCTGCCAAGATGATAAAAGGAAGCAGAAGGCCATGTTGGCAACAAGGTCAGGGCAACAGACTAATATCTGAAACCTCTCCTTGGAGATACCCGCTCTCCAGGGTTCTAAAGCATTCTTCTTACTAGAGAATAAAAGATCAGCAGAGAACACTTACTTCTGTCCAGCTTTTACAAAACCTTTTAAAGAGGATCCTCTATTAGTAGCAACTGCTTTTCCACCAAGACCAACTATGAGAGCGGTGAGCACAGCACTCTTCCCACCTAAAGAAACACATTGAAAAATTCATAAAGATAAAATTCTGACTTTATAACTTCATTCAAAAAGATGGCCAACTCTGTCTCCACCTGAAGTAAAATGTTACAAATACAATTATAATTTTCTTCCAGTGCTAAGGTGGCAAACTAAGGAAAGTTCCCCATCAAGAACCACCTCACTATCACCAGTAGGAAAACCTCGTACATTTCAATACCAATTTTGTGCCCACAATAAGGAGAAAAATGGTTACCATCTTTCCAACCCGAAACCCAGTCTATCCTCTTAGTGCATCAAACTAACAATTACGGGGCTAGAGAGATGGCTCAGAGGTTAAGAGCACTGACTTCTTCCAGAGGTCCTGAGTTCAATTCCCAGCAACCACATGGTGGCTCAAAACCATCTGTAATAAGAACCGGTGCTCTTCTCGCTTGCAGGGATACATGCAGACAGAACACTGTATACATAATAAATAAATCTTTAAAAACAGAAACTTTCAATTACATTTACATTATGTAATTAATTTACATAATTTGACATTACATTCTAATTTAATTATGGCTACTCCTTTCATCATAAATTTCTAGGCACAGAAACTTTAAATAGCTCTCAAATGTAAGAACCCAACATGAGAAGAGATGTTGTCTCTTTACAGTATGGATGCATCCTGGTACCAGCACATGTATTCACTGAATGCATTAAATAGAAAAACGTTAGAAAAAAAATCACGAAAAAAATTAGAAAAATCACATATTTCTAATTTAATATTCTTCGTTTAGTATTTTTAAATTTTAGTTTTTTGGCCCTTAATTTTCAAATTCATTTCCTATCTCTTTTACGTTTAATTTTTGAAATGTAATTTTTATTCTAAAAGATATAAAACATCCAAAACTTCACTTTGAAAATCTCAACAACACAGACATCATACCACCAAATTATTAAGCCAACAGAAATTAATGATTATCGTGCTTTAGTTCCTGGAATGCCTTTCAAGTTCTTATTCTTTTTTCTTTACTGCCAGATACAATGCTTTAGTTAAATGTCCTTTATTAAGTTTTATAAAAGAAACCACTCAAATTTTTAAAGACATAACTTGAGAATCCATGGTTCCTTTTTCTTGTATTCTGCGACCTCCCTGTAATAATGACCCTCTTCTTCATTCACACTCTCCTACTGAAATGTCTTCCTTCTTCACTCAATGACAGAAGCAGCAATAGTAAAGAATGGGACTATGGCACCACACATACCTAATTTCTTTTCCAAGTACTGTCACTATCTCAGTCAATCCTGACACCAGCTTGTCCACCATCAGCTGCCACAGTGCAGCCAGTCCGTCACAACAATCTTGGCCATCATCAACTGCCAGTGTAGACAGTCCATCACAACAATCTTGCCCATGTCAACTCATCACTCAAAAATTTTAAATCCCAGCACTCGGGAGGCAGAGGCAGGCGGATCTCTGGGAGTTCGAGACCAGCCTGGTCTACAGAGCTAGTTCCAGGACAGGCTCCAAAGCCACAGAGAAACCCTGTCTCAAAATACCAAAAATAAACAAACAAACAAACAAACAAACAAATAAATAAAAATTTTGAACTGACTGTCCAAGGTCAACTGAGTGAAGGTCTAAAATCTTTATCAAGCCTTTAAGATGCTCAACAATACTATGCACGATATAACTCTGTTATGTTCTGCTCTTCCCCGCCATGTACTAGATGATACATGAGGTTACGCCCATTCTCCATACACATTTTCTATCCTCTGAATATTTGAGAATGAGCCATCTATGCCTAGAACATCTCAGCTTCTTGCCAAATGAATCTTAAGGAATCTTTAAGTTTTATCCAAGTACCAGCAAAAACACAACCTCCTCATAAAAACCACTGATATCAACAATGGATTGTCACTTTGATAGTCTGGATTTCAAGGCACTTCATCTGTGCCTTATCTAGTGTTTACATCAAACCGCTATGGTGCCTTTCTACTGAGATAGGAAGCTCCCTGAGCCAAGTAGTTTGAGGTGAGCCTGAGCAAAATAACTGAAATTCTATCATAAGAAAATGGAAGGGGAGACGGGAGAAGGATGGAGAAAGGAATGAGCTATGTATACATGGAAGGAAGAAAGAGACGGCATAGTGGTTAAGAGCCTTGCTGCTCTTGGATAGGGCCTGGCTCACACCATCTGTAACTTCAGTTCCAGGGGGTTCAAACCATCCTCTGACCTCTGAGGGCAATGTATGCATATGGTTCACATACATACATGCAGGCAGGCAAACATTAATACACATATAAATAAATAAATCTAAAAAATAACAGAAAATGGAGGAAATGTTTATACCTACCTTAAATAACATATCTAAAAATAATTCAGTATTTTCTTGAAATGTAAACTGAATAAATACAGAGAAGCCACAAAGTTTAGAACAAATATTTATCAGCACTAATAGTCACCTATTTCAAACCCTCATGCTTTCTCATCACAAAGTAAAGGATAAAGACGGCAAAGTCACTTACTTCCATTATTGCCAACAACGAAGTTGACATTAGAACCAAATTTAAAAGGTCCAAGCATTGAATGGCACATGAAGTTTCTTAGTTGAATACTCTCAATTATTCCAACTTCTGCTGCAGTCTATTAACAAAAAAAATGTGGGGGGAAAAATCACTCTCTCGAATCCACTCATTACTAATACCCAAGTATCTAAGAGCCTAGTAGTATTTATCAGTCAAAAGTTCTATCAGGTGAGCAACAATAACTTTAATGACCATCATTAAAGGAAATGGGAATTTTCTTTAGGTTACCACTAATTCTACAAACTATCTACTCAAGGTCCCAAAGTTTGACTATGGAATTCATTCTGTAACTTGGCATTTCATTTTCACAAAAAGAATTCAAAGAACACTGTACAGACGCTTTTCTTCTGACATTCTGTTTCAGGCACTTACAAGAGCTGAGAGATTTTTAGCAATATATAAAGAATACATAATTTGCCCAGCAGTGGTGGTGCACACCTTTAAAATTCCAGCAGTTGGGAGGCAGAGGAAGCCAGAGCTCAGTGAGTTCGAAGTCAGCCTGGTCTACGAGTTCCAGGATAGCCAGACTACACAGAGAGACACTATCTACAAAAACAAAAATAAGAATATAGTATTTCCAAGTCAGGTGTGGTAGTGCATCCCACCCCCTAATCCCTCCAAGACCCCCTCCCCCAGCACCTGTGCTTTTGCTGTGTTGGGTTTTTAAAACAGCATTTCTTTGTGAAGAAGCCTTAGCAATCCTGGAACTTACTCAGTAGACCAAGCTGGACTTGAACTCAGAATTACCTGCTTCTGCCCCCCCCCCCCAAATAGTGAGATCAAAGGCATGCGCCACCAAAACCCAGCTAAGATGGTTTTAATAATAAAAGTGTAAAGTTTACATGATATACTATTTCTTCAGAAATGTTCTATTCAAAAGTCAGTTTACCAATAATAATAAAGTCATGTCAAAAGCACACAACTTTAATCCCAGCACTGAGGAGGTAGAGGAGTCGATCTCTGTAAGTTTGAGTCCAGCCTGGTCTAAAGAGTGAGTTCCAGAGCAGCGAAAACTACACAAAGACACCCTGTCCTGGGAAAGGGGGGAGTAGGATTTCCAATTATGTAAACTCGTATTATAAATAAATGTCAGGATTAAGATTATTAAATGGTTTAATCAGTATATGGCCTATAGCTCTCACCTGCACTCCACAGATACTAAATACCAGAATAAACCAACCAGATTGTTAGTCCTAACGTTTCAGAGACCACTTTAATGTGATCAGCAATTTTAATAGGTTCTTTAGAAACTCCATCTCAATTCTAGCCATCTACATCACTAAAAAGTAGAAAATATTTACATCATTGCACAAGTAGATTACCAGGTATTCTGGTTTATGCATTTCTAAATATATTTTTACTTTATGGTAACTGAAGCGTCACATGCAATCATTAAGAAATGAGACCCTATGTACTGTCCGCCCAGTTTCTGTCAATCAATGGAAACGTTTTAATAAAGCGTGGTTTCTCAGGCAAGACACTGACAGTCTCGATACACTGTGTTTCCCTCACACGCAATCCCTTATGTTGTAAAAGACCATAATCGCGATCACAACCCTTCCCTTTCAACCCACTTCAACCACTTGCACACTAATCTTTATTTCTGTAAATGTTGTTCTAAGAATGTCAAATAAATAGACTTATACAAAATATCATCTTTTGGAACTAGCCTTTTTGCTCAGCTCAACTGTCTGTTGTTGACTGTCACAACTAAGCAGTTTTTCATGGAATGGATGTCACAGGATGGTCACCATATCACATATGGACTTATTTTGAATTTAACTTTTTGTGAATAAAGCTACTAAAAATATACTATGTTTCGTACTAAAATAAATCTTCATTTCCTGGGAACAAATGCTAGGTTATATTGCAATTTTATATTGTTTTCCTCAGAAACAAACATTGCATAGTGCAGTAACAACCTAACATTCCCATCAGCAATGTTTAAATGATTCAATGCATTCTTGCCATCTGATAATACCTATTTTATACTTTATCATTCTGATGAGTATGCAGTAATAGCTCAAATATAACTGTGAAGGACAATCATATTTCCTTACTCTCTTAAAGCTCAGAGGAAGTCAATTCAGTAATCATGGCCTGTACTCTATCCACGACACTGGCAATTTATGTCTTCTCCTTTTTCTACTGGTCTTACTAAAGGTTTGTCAATTTTATTTAAAGATTTAGTTATTTGTCCAATTATTTTCTTTAAATTTTCTAATTATTAACACAAACTTGAAAATCAGGAGCTATTTTTACACAGCTCTCTAAAACTCTTGTACTTCTCCAGACTACAAATTACGAACGAACTATAAATTATTATGAAATTATGATACATAAAATGACCATGAGAAACCAGCCAATTGGAACACATTATTTGTCATTCTGTGCTTACCAAAGTAGAGGTCCCATTAGTGAAAGAAATTGTACATTCGTCCTCATCTCCATCTTTATCAAAATCTTCCAGTTCTTCTTGTCTTGGCCTTTTAGCATTTTCAGGAGAACAGAAATTTTCTTCCTTTCTTTTGGCCATCAGATCTGTACAAATATTTATAGTAACAATAACATAAGCCAAGAATGACATATAAAGACTATTCAATAAACACTGAACAAAAGAAATTACACAAACTCCTTTAAGGAAAAAAGTTTTCCTAGAACCTCCAAAAAGAAATGCAACCCCACTGATACTGTTAGTCCCTTAAGATCTGAGCTAGACTTCTAATTTCCAGACATGTACGAAAGTAATTTACAGTGTCTTAAAAGAAACAAAACCACCATCACCTGGATCATACGTATCGGGTGATTTTCACCTCATAACTTTTTACGGCTACAAATCAGTAAGAACTTAGCTGAGTATTTCTTCTCAAACCCACAAAAGGGAAAAATACTTTACTGGGAAAATACTATCTTCTACTTTCCTATTAGGAGAGACAACACAGTCCCTCCTGAAATTACTATCACATTCAACTTTTATAACTTACAAAATAGTATTAATCAAATAAAACTTGATTTTTTTAAAATTATTTCCCAAAGGAACACATTTTGAAGCAGCAATACCTCACACTAGTAGTTTCCCTGTTTTCTGGATAATCAATTTCAACTGTCAAAACCAAGTACTTAAAAATACAGTAGACAGTGGGCTGGAGAAATGGCTCAGAGGTTAAGAGCATTGCCTGCTCTTCCAAAGGTCCTGAGTTCAATTCCCAGCAATCACATGGTGGCTCACAACCATCTATCTGGAATGAGGTCTGGTGCCCTCTTCTGGCCTGCAGACATACACACAAACAGAATATTGTATACATAATAAATAAATAAAATAAAAAGAATTAAAAAAAAGAGTTTAATATCTAAAAAAAAAAAAGAAAGAAAGAAAGAAAGGAATTTGACAAGTATAACTGGGGTGAGGTAAGTATGCCAGGCTAAGTGTGATGAGTTTACAATGGGCATCAGAGTCTACATTACACAAAAGATACTACACTCAAATACTTCAAAATGAGGCTGCTTTTTATATGCTGGGTATAGCCTGGGATTTGCAGTCTGCTAGGTTTCCAAGGTAACTTGCATCTGAGAGACACAGAAGGATCCTCCTAACTTTTATATAGAAATCACTTTGAGATTTAAAGATGACAGACTTTCAAAACACATATATGAAATGTCCTGAGTGTGAGATATAGGCAATAGTAAAACCATTATTACTAACAAGATAAAAGATACAACAGATATAAGAAAGGGAAAGGTTCCTCTGAGATCTTGAGCATACTGTAAGCAGTATAGTTTATTTTACTTACTTATCTACAATTTTCTAAATATTTGTTGTTTGGTTTGTTTGTGTCTGTATTTAAGACAAGGCCTACCTATATAGCCCAGGCTGTCCAGAACTGGAATGCTGGGATTATAGGTTGCCACAGGACTTTAAAAAACAAACAAACAAACAAACAAACAAACAAACAAAAAACGCAAAGCAGAAAAATCAGTAACTAAGGTCTCAAGGAAGCATTTAGATACATTTGAAATTTCAATATCCTACAAATTTTAGCAGGATTATAAAATTTTGACTCTTGAGCTTAAATTTTTATAACTCATACTTCCCATTAATGCCAAAGTAAAGATTAACAGCAGTATCCACCATAACACAATTAGACTTATTTAATTCAGTAACTATTAGAACTATTTTTAAGTAAATATAAAACTGCCACTTTGAGGCAGAAGTGATGGATTCAGATATCTGCTCTAAACTGTGTTTACCACTTCCCTAATTATACTCTTATGATCTACAAAACACGTCAATTCTATATTAAACAACCTCAATGTACTGAATTAACTGAGCAGTATTTAGAATATATTACAGAATCAAATGAGGTTATCTAGATAATACAGTAAAACCTTTTGTTAAGCCAAAACACCAAGAAATTGAAGACCAGCAGAAACTGGGAAGCCTTCTACTTTCAGCATTCCAGGTAATATGATCTGAACACTCAAATTTGAGTTGAAAGCATACCATAATCTGGGATACACTAAGAATAATGCCAAAGTAGACAGTTTCTAATAAAATTCTAAACAAAAACTCGAGGAGGGTCAGGAATGAAAAGGTGGTAAAACTGTTGAAACCAAAGTTAAAAAGACTAGGTAAAAGTCCAAGGGAGTAGAATTAACATTAGTTGAGTAGCTTATGGTTAGCTCTGGATTAAACTATATCCTTTGATCTCCTTAGGATATAAATCATACCTTTACCTTACAACTTGGGAAACTGAGAGGCAAATGTAGATTTCAACTTATGTAGCATCAACTTAGTAACTAGATGCAGACAGCTGCTAGCAGAGCAGATCCACATCCAGGTTTCTCCAGGAAAGGTGAAGCGACTTATGTCCTGGTTCCTACTGGCATAAGCAATTGAGTTTAAACAACACTTGATTCACACCAAGTGACAGAATATGTCTGTTACCTTCTTGTGTGCCTCCTGGAAAACCTGGAAAGCCAGATTCTAACCCAGGAGAGGCATATTCAGAGCGTACACAGGTGGGAAAGTTGCCTGTGGAAGGGGAGCCTTTTACTATAGTTTGTAACTTATTTTCTAAAATCTATTTTGTAACAATTTATTTAAGTTTTAAAAAAGGAAAATTGCTCCCCACCCCCCCAAAAAAAAAACTTTTTTTTTTTTTTTTCACAACAACAACAAAAAAGTTCCTCTAAATGTTGCTTTGGGCTGGTGTCAGTTTCATTTCCTCACTTAATGCTATCCATCATCATAAACTGACGGTATATTTGTCAAGAGAAAAAGGATAATAAGTTTGTTTTGTTTACAAACACTTGAGTTTGAAGGATTCCAAGGACAGACTCTGCCATAGAAATCAATCTATAAGTGGAGGAAAGAAAATTAAAGTAAGCAGTTTGAATTCGGTGACCAAGGGAATCAAACAGTGTGGGAAAGAACGTAACTAAATTAACTCATAAATTTAGACACACACACAGCACAACTGACCACACCGGACCATTTAAACGGGCTGGAAAGGTGGCTCAGGTTAAGAGCACTGACTGTTCTTCCTGCAAACTCAGTCTGATTCCCAGCACCCACATGGAAGCCTATTTCTGTCTCTAACCTGAATCCTAGGGATCTAACACCTGGGTGGGCGCCAGGCAAGTATGTAGTGCACAGACATCCATGCAGGCAAAACACCCATACACATAAGTAATAAAAATTCTTAAAGTATTTCAAATATAATGCACATACAATTACAGTAAACTTTTTAGTTATTATTTCTTGAAAGTCAACTACTTTGTGGGGGGAGTCACTGAAGATTGGATCCAGGATCTCTACGTGTTAAAGTAGCAATCTACCACTGAACGATACTCCTAGACTGCCTACTACATCTTGACTGACTGTCCTAACAATTAAAATTCAGGCAATTTTTACTAAAATTCTAGTTTGGCACTTAGTAAAATAAACCTTTGGGGACTAACACTTGCTAACACTCAACATGCTGTTTTATACCGGCTTCTTTCTTGTTGAGCTCAATACTCAACACTTTACACTCCATTAATCTCTCAGGGATCCTCTGATTTGGAACTGAGAGGTAAAGAGGTGGAATTACTCTTCAAAAAGTCTTACTACCTGCCTCGTGTTTCAAGCGATTGCAAGTGGTCTCTACACTTACTACACACACTAAGAAAATGATTTCTTATTTTGGACAGTCTTCCATTGCAGCCTGAGCTATCCTGAAACTCACTACATATCCCAAACATTCCTCTCTGTCTTACCTCAGCTCCTACTAAGAACTGAGATTACAGTCCTGAGGCACCAACCCCAGCTCAGAAAACGAATTTTTCTTAAGAGACATGACCTCGTGTAACCCAACCTGGCTTCAATCTGGCTAGGTAGCTTAGGGCCTTCGGATGCTCCTACCCCCTTCTCCTGGATGTTAGGATTACAGGCCTGCACCACCACAGAGTTTTGTGTGCTGGTGGGGCTCAGGCAAGCCATCATCAGCACTACGTACATTTCAACATTAAGAAAGAATCAGTTTCACATACTAACTGGCTGAGTCCAAAGGGGAAGTCCTAACAGCTCATCACTCTCACCTCCCCCAAAACCAGCTGCTGGCCACTGAAGATTCTAGTATACATTTTCAACGACTCCAGTCTCCTTCTAAGAGTCAGGAAATACGTACTTTTCTAACTTGGAATAGACAGCTCAGAACAGCTTGCTTTTAAAATGCAAGCGTGGTCTTCTGTCTACTCATTAACTATAAACTGTAGCAAGTTTTGTCTTCGGGCTTTAAATGCCAATTAGCCGCTCTTTCTAGGAAGCAGGAGTCCTATTCTCCTAGAGTTCTTCCTCTATTCCCAGTCCTGTTTTCTAGAGTTGCCATTCGGGATTTCCCTCCAATTCCACAGTAATGAAGGGCAAGAAACGCCACCCAAACCTTTCCAACCCAACGATGTACCTTCGCCTGGTTATCCGAATGGTGTTCAGGGGAAAGCGGATTTAACGGCAAATTCAAATTTCAGCGGCATTTCCAGACGTGTCCGCCCCCCACCTCCCACCCCAGGTGCCTGCGCAGGGAGTACCCAGCTCCGACGACGGCCTCAGCCCCGGCCCCGACCTCTGCGGCAGCCCGCCAACGCCCGGGCCGCCTGGGGACGCGCGAGGGAGGGCTGGCACCCACGGCCAAGTTTCTCCGATGCGGAGAGCCGCGTCCCCCGCCGGGAGCGTAAAGGTCCCCGCGGCCAGCACGCAGGCCTGACCCCTCGGCACCCGCAGCTTCCCAGGAGGGGCCGAGGGCGGCCCGCCGAGGCACGGGGGCTGCGGGACGTGGGGCAGAAAAAGCGCGCGCCCTCACTCTACCTCCAACAAGTCGCGGTCCCCGGGGGAAGGTAGTCAGCGAGGGTGTCACGACGCGAAGGCCACCCCAAAGGCGTCCGTCCTCGGCCACCGCTCGCCCGCCCGCCAAAGCAGGGCGAACCCGCCCCGAAAGCAGGCGGGAGCCCCGCAGCCAGGCGCCCGCCGCGGGAAGGTCCGCGCCTGCGCCCCGCCCCTCCCCGCCCCCGGACTCCGCCCGCGCCTGCGCGTCCAGGCCTCTGGCGCCGCTCGGGTTTGCGAGAGGGAAGCGGAAGTGCGCTCTGCGGGCGGGAGGCGGAGGGCGGAGAGGGAGAGGAGGAAGCGGGGAGGAACTGTCCCCTCGGCGGCGGCTCCGGACCGTGGGGGGTGGCGAGTGGGAAGATCTCCGGGCGCCCTGGCAACAGGTCTACGCATGCGTCCTTGGGGTCGCCCGCTAGAAGCGAGGGAAAAGCGAAACCGCGAGGGAGGGAGGGAGGGAGGAAGAAAGAAGTGGGTCTGGGAGGGAACGGACCGTTTCCCGGAAGGGGCGGGACTAATGGCCAGGGCGCTGGATTCGAAATCGTAGCCCAACGCTTGGTGCTTGGGAAGGCCGCATTAGGCTTTTCTTTTTTTCTTTTTTGTTTAACCTTCGGTTTGAGGGCATCGGGAACTTGAGGGCGGCAGTAGTTGGTAAATGACAGGAGTGTACCTTCCGCGGCATCGAGGAGGGGCTGTCTGGGTAAGTCCTTCCCCGAGGACACCACGCCATCTGGGTGGTCTTCCCCGATGCCCGCTCGCACCCTGCTCGGCGTTATGGTTGCAGTTGGGAAACAGTTTTCTGCCAGGGTTGTGTGTGTGTGGCTCTCTCTCCTCCCACCCGCTCCACCCCTAGGGTGGGCATCGCCTGTAATGAATAGCAGTTAAAGTGGTTCTTGGGTCTTCTCCATTGACTGCTCGACCCGAGGTTAGCCTTCCATCCTGTCTTTACACAACTTTTTCAATTTGCCGACCTAACCAAAAAACCTCGCTGTGTTTCAGCTTCCCCTCCGATGTCTGGGGTGTGGATATGGCGTTCACTGTCACCCCAACCTCGGTGTACAACCTCAGGTCTCCGGTAATAAATTAAATTTCCTCGTTCAAAACCACTATTCACTTCAAAAAAATAATCATACATTGCGTCCTTTAGAATGGATTAGTGAAAAGTTTGACATAGTCAAAGTAGACTAAAATGTGGGACCGAATCCTCGTGTAACTAATGAGAAACACAGCCTCAGGCAGGACTATTATCCTATTAAAATGCTGGGTTTTTTTTCCCCCCTTTACAGCCTCACCCTACCAAGATATTTAAATCGGGAACCTGATTATTATTGTAACTCCAGCACCTAGACATATTCCTAGTAAATACAAATAGGTAAATTAAATATGGGTCTCAGACTTTAAATTCGTGTATGAGAGGATAACGGAAAGGAATTTAAACAACCCGAGTTGGTGAAGTTATGTGGTAAATCCCAAACAGCTACAATCCTGCGCGATGGAAGTTTATACTGTTTGTCAGTCTTCCCTATATAAAAATACAGTTGACTAAATGTGGATTTGGAAATTTAACTATTTCCTGTCTCTTCTTTAAACTTTGACAGAGCAAAAATCTGCCTTAATAAAAAGTGGTTTTGCATAAATCAAGCTATTGACTTCTTTTTATGTTCTTTACATTTGATTCATTAGTGGAATTAGCAAGGGTCTGTGTTTTTCTCACCTCTTTTGGTTTTATAATTAACCAGTAGAACCTTAATAGCTTTTAAGGAAGCTTTAGGAGCATGAATGGATTTATGGGCACCATATGGCTACTTCAAAGGATCTGTTTTTGTTTTAACTTGAAGAAGATTCTTCAGCCCTTTTTTAATGTAGAAACCTAGCTTCTATCAAGCCATAATCCGGATGTTCCTGCTACCGAAATTGATCTCTTGAGAGTCAAAGGCTGATAGGAGCTGTCATTTGTCTGGTTTAAACGTCTTGCTTTCTAGACAGGCTCACTGTCTCCCTGAGGCTATGCGGTTGATCACTAGTATATCCAAAACCCAAATTCTAGGCGTGTGGACTCCAAATTCAGTGCTCTTTTCACTAAATGAGACCCACTGAAGCTATTCATAAGTTATGAAACTATTTGGTATACATTCTGACTTTGTTGGCTCCTTTCTTGTTACATAACTAATTCTTTAAAATTAGAAATTTAGGAGACACATTCGTGTTGACTGCATCAGTGGTTATTACAATATAAGAGGTTTGACTAGGGGCCCACAAGTTTATATACTTTTGTAGTATTTTAAGTTTTGCTTAGTGCTAATCCTTCAGTTTTGGAGTATAACAAAATCAAGATCTGTCAGTATTGTCTTTCAGTTCAGGAATACATCTTAAGCACAGTTCCATTTGGTCTCCTTTTGGAGTTTCACAAGCTTTTAGAGTCTTTAAACTATTGTCATGTAATATCACTTCAGAGAAATGATGGTACAGAGAGAGAGTGAGTGGATGCAGTGCATGGTGGCTTAAAATAGATTCTGGATTCACTGCAGTCTTAGAGCAGGTTATATGTACTTTTTAGTATACTATAATGGGTGCTCTTCATAGTCAACATGGATTTCTAGACTTAGATTGTAGCATTGGAGAAAATTCTAAAGTAGTATTTTTAAAGAAAATAGATGTGGTACACACCTTTAATCCCAATACTCTGGAAGCAAATGCAAGCCGATTCTGTGAGTTCAAGGCCAGCCTGGTCTATTAGTGAGCTCAGGACAGCTAGAGTCACGTAGTGAGACCCTCTTTCAAGAATGTGTGTGTGTGTGTGTGTGTGTGTGTGTTATATAAACATATATTGTAGGTGTTATTGTGTGTATATGTTACACTTAAAATACATGATTTTGTAATAACTTAATGTTTATATTTCCTTATAAAATAGCCACCATAAGTGGATGAAATGGTATTTTAATTATTTCTTTTTTAAAAAAACATGATTGCTCAGGCTGTTATGCAGAGAAAAACTGTTCACAAATGGTAAGAATTTAAAAAAAAAAAAAGGTGGGAATCTTAAAGCTGTATACAGCAGAATTAGGGAAGTGTTAGAAATGGAGGATTAAGAATGCATTTGGGGGCTGTGGCTCAGTGGTAGAGCACATACTCTGTGAAAGGCCCTGGCTTCAATCCCCATTACCCTCCAGAGAAAGGAGGCTGTTACACAGAGAAACCATGTCTTGGAAATTTAAAAAAAAAAAAAATACATCTTGTAGACAGAATGTGCCACTCATTTGCCTGTTGGGAACAAAAGGTAAGCAAGCAAACTTGGGAAACATTGAGATTAAAACAGTTGTCAGGAGAGGTGATGGGATTAAAGAGTTTGGTAAAACAAAACAAAACAAAAAAACAAAAACAGGCAATCCCTGTACTTGGGCGGTGAGATGAGGGCACAGTTCCAGACCAGTCTAACCGGCCAGACCCTGTCTCAAAAACAGACAGGGAAGATGGGGGTATCATGCATCCAGCAAGAAGCTAGTAAGTAGGCTGAGTTAGTCCCGAGAATATAACTAAAGATAGGGCTTAGTAATGTTAGAGGCCAGGCTAGCAAATCAAAGTTCTAATTCTTGTGACTACCTTTGTTCTTTTAATATTATCCCTTAATGTCATCCTGATCTATACTTTGTGGTGTTTTGTTTATTTACCTAGTGAAAGCTTGATGACTTTATAGGAAGTTCAAGAAGCTCTAGTAGAAATTCATTGTAAGTTTCTAAGAGGCACCAAGGAGGACAGCAATAGTCTATTTTGTTTGGGGAACTTCCTGACCAACAGGGCCTGGCACTAGGATTTTTGTGAGCCCTGTTTTGGTGGGAAACTGTCACCCCAACTGGCGTGAATTCAATTTACACGTATGTATGTAAATATAGACATTATATTACATATGTAATGTTAAGTAGCTACGAGATGTTTCTTTGTCGCTATTTAAGACATCTTTAGTGTTTTTATCCCTCCTTTTAAAATGAGTCTTTTCAGGTATCCAGTGTAAGTCACAAATAAAAGCAAAAATATAGAGAATTTCAACCTCAAATTCTTATCTGACTTTAATGTGTTCTCATGGCTAACACTTTACAAATCTCATTTACCTTCATAATAAAGTGTTAGGAAATATATGTGCCCTTGCTCTTTCAGAATTAACCACAACTTTCCACATGAACTGAACCTATTGCCAGAGTGTTACAAGCAGCAGAATTTGTTGCGGTAGAGTAAAAATAGCCTACTATTAACTACTTAATACTTTGTGTACACTCTGTGTGGTTTTCTTTGTAAAGTAATATAAGCATGTCTATTAATGCACTCCACAAAAGTGAGTGCACAACATTAGCAGTCTTTGCAGGACTCTCCACATTATAAAATCAAGATTCAGAAAACAAAAAATATTATACATTAGCCTTTTCAGCAATGGTTTTCTTTTGCATCTGTGTGCAATTTGCACTGGGGGCCAGCCTCGACAAAAATACCTTTCTCCAGAGTAGAGGCATGGGGATTTAGAAATATAGTAAAGAATACGAAGACACAAATGAAAATATTAAAACACAGAAACATATAGGATGGTATCAGAAGGAATTTTTCAGTTAGTACTGAAAATTTGCTTGTGTTTCCAACTGGTTAATATACCCCTGATCCCAAAAGGTAGGAATAAGAGGAAAGAGTGCATTAACATGCCTACTGAAAATCACAGGCTTCATTCTTCATGCTTACTCCCTAGACCAAACACTCCGTAGGCAAACCACTCCCTGGGTGGAATCCCAAGTTATTTCCATAGAGGGAACTGGAACTTAGTTGGATCCTTAGACTTTTGTTTTAGGTAAGAACCAATTACTTCCCTGTTTCAGGAGCAGAGGTCTGGCTATTAGCCACACCTGCTGCCAACAGCCTTGAGCAGAACTCTCTGATTTAGAACTAGGTGGGACCTATGTTTGAGACAGAAGTATAATACCTTGGATAAACAAGAAACAAGACTCAAACTTTCTGACCTTTGGCCTCTTTAGGGTCCACAAATTTGATAGAGTAGACTTTCAGAATATACTTTTAGGAGTATATTCTTTTTATATTTTTATTCAGAAGGTTTCTGCATATAAGTTATGGCCTTTTGGTTTAATATATTTTTTTGCTGTATGTTTTGGACTTTTAGACTGAATTAAGGCCACTATTCAGAGGATAATAATCTGGGTTAAATTAATGTACTCAGATTTAATCTTCATTACAAACAAATACCTTTATCAATTACCAACAAAAGGAAAGAAAAATGGGTATGTTTAATAAAGAAGAGCCAACAAAATACCCAGATGGTACAATAGAGTTTAAGATGATTTGTTCCTAAATTGTCCTGCACCATATAAGGAAACACTAATTGAAATTACCTGATGCCTGTGAGAAGGGAACACGAAACATGCAACAAACCCGCTTATGAGTTTATTGGGGGGTGCACAGGCCTGGTGAAGGTCGGTGTGCAGAGAGAGAGAGAGAGAGCTGAAGATGACCCTCGGCTTTTAAGGGCTGCTTTGCGCGTGCCCATAGCGGGATGGTGTGGCTGTGTCATACACAGATGGTGGAGCTCACGCATGCACACAAGGCCTCATGCAGCTGCATCATACATAGCTGATGCAACCATACTACACATGGGTCACGGGGATCCTTGATTCTCAGGACCGTTAGGTACTTCTGCCTAAAGGGTTGTCCACACATGCATGGCCCTAGAACCCTGAGGTGTCAGCCATATTGTGTAGCTGAATCATTACATTCCACCCTTTTGTTTATTTTAAAAATTTGGGAGTTTGGGGTCTTTAATGGGTGGGAATGGGGTGTTGTAAGGTCTCTCGTGACTGCTTCCTGCTGATTTTGTGGGCATAGGAGAGTTGAGATGCTTGATCACATCCTGGGGTGGCTGATTAATTTTGCGTTTTTTTCTGGGCTCTGTGGAACTGCCTGGCTGACAGCTTGGACCTTGCAAGATGCTGGAAAGGCAGAAAACTATGTCTGGAAAAAATTTTAGATCCTGGTGGTTAAGGGAGGAGAGTTCCAAGATGGAATATAGAGGGGGGCTTTTTGAGGGGGTATAGAGGAGGGAATTTCCCAGGGATTCCTGAGACAAGGATAATAAGGAAAAAATTAAGTGATACATATTCTGGGTGAATCTGGTCCATTTAGATAGGTCCAGTTGGCTCCCTGAAGCTTATGGGAAAAAAATGTTTGAAAAGAAATAAATTTTAGACATATTAAAAGCTTATAATTACAATGTTATAGCGTTGGAATGGAAGACAGTAGGGAAGAGGGAGGCAAAGAAGGGGGAATTATTAGACCCCTCAGTATTTTACCTGAAGCAAATCTTAAGGCACTTGTTCTCATTTAGCATCATGGTATTACCTTAACGTCCAGGAGACAGGGCTTGAGAGATGGCTCAGTGGTTATGAGCACTGTCTGCTCTTCCAAAGGTCCTGAGTTCAATTCCCAACAACCACATGATGGCTCGCAACCATCTGTAAAGACACCTGATACCCTCTTCTGGCCTGCAGGTGTACATGCAGGCAGAACACTGTACATATAATAAATAATAAATAAAACATTTTTAAAAAACATCCAGGAGACACTGCTGCACTCAGTGATAAACTTGTTATGTTAAAGTCTGTTGTGCGAGGTTTTGGAGTTTGGGACTGTGAATGTCCCCAAACTCATTATTGTTTCTTACCGCCTGGGCTTTTGGCAATCCTTGTACCTCCAGCTCTATGCTTAATGTTGGTCCCTGTAATAACAACTGAGTGGTTAACTGGAAATTTAAGTATGACATTGGAGATATAGAGAAGTTGGTAAAGCAGATAGGAGGAAGACGGAGAGTATATGGAGTTTTTGGCACAGGAGAGATGACTGCGGTGATGACACTTATTTTTCTGGAACTGGAGAAAGAGTGGCTGATCTTGGTGTCCCCTGGAACTTAAGGGAGCAGGGCCCTGTTTGTGTTACTGTGTAGGAGGAAGTATCTTGAGCTAGAAGAGTAAAAAGTTTAAGGTGGGACAAGTAGATCCAATTAAGAGTCTCTCGAGCTTGGCAGCTGTGGGGGTTACAAGAATTACCTTAGCTGGGCAGTGGTGGCACACACCTTTAATCCCAGCACTCGGGAGGCAGAGGCAGGCGAATCTCTTTGAGTTCGAGACAAGTCTGGTCTACAAGAGCTATTTCCAGGAAAGGCTCCAAAACCACAGAGAAACCCTGTCTCGAAAAAAAAATTACTGGGCTAGAGAGGTGGCTCAGAGGTTAAGAGCACTGACTGCTCTTCCAGAGGTCCTGAGTTCAATTCCCAGCAACCACATGGTGGCTGAGATCTGGTGCCCTCTTCTGGCATGTAAACATACATGGAAGGAATGTTGTATATATAATAAATAAATAAATCTTTAAAAAAAATTAAAAATATTATTCTTGGCTGGGCAGTGGTGGCACATGCCTTTAATCCCAGCACTTGGGAGGCAAAGGCAGTTGAATCTCCATGAGTTCAAGGCCAGCCTGGTCTACAAGAACTAGCTCCAGGACAGGCTCCAAAGCTACAGAAAAACCCTGTCTCGAAAAACAAAACAAAAATCCCAGCACTCGGGAGGCAGACT